ATGCGTTTCACATCATCTGATTTTTTGCAGTGCTCTCTATGTTAGGACTGCGAAGTTTCTTCCAGAAGCTCAAACAGAACTGAATCAGTAATTCGACTTTCGAAGGCCAAAAGGAAAACACGAAAACTGCAGACTTGTTAACAGACGACAACTATGAGACTTTGAAAACGAATACCTCCTCAACAACGGTACCAAGATAATTCGATTCTGTTTATACCGACCGTTTATTCAAGCAAATAGATTAGACGGATGGGATCATCATTATCTCCAGTACTCGCTTAAATCTTTTCGTCAAAACAAGAAGCCGATGTAGTTAATCCTTTTTAACCCAATTTTTAATATCGTAGATGGTTGATTCTCTAAAGGAAAAAATACTCTTAATAATGATGTGAGCGTAAAATGCCCGATTGCTTTAGGCTGGCATGTTAATCAAGTAAAAATCGCCGATAGCTAACCAGCAATGTGTTTTCTATGATCACTAATGTGACGCGTGTGATGCGGGTGATGTCGGTTTCGTCCTGCTCGACGACCCTTGGACTGATGTCTTGTTTAAAAAGCCAAAAAGATATGCTATTAGTGAACATCTCGAAACGAACCAACTCCCGCTATTCGACATTAGCGAGCTCGGACCGGCCGAGAGCAAAAATCCCGCACAGATACAGAGGAAGACCTAGTTTTACCTCGGTCTCTTTATTGGCAGACGAGGATGAGAGAATCAGCGCTAGGTAGCGCCAACAATTTTGTCCTTGCGAAAAACCCCTCAAGACGTTGAGTGTTTTGAGCTTAACCGAAGTCTGCCCGGTTCTTTACCAGCCACGAAAAACAATCAGGGTGGCCTCGGAGATTCTAAAGATGAATCCGACGTAGAGACAGTTTCTGTCCCTGACTCTGAATCTGGCCAATTATTAGTTCCACACATCCAGCTCGAAATGCCACGGCTTTTAAAGCAAGGGAACGCTGAAAGAGTTCTTGTCAAGAATACTTTTGGAACAGCGTCTGCGTCACATTGCGATCAACGTTTTCCGCAATATTTTACAGCTGCAATGTGCAAGTGCACAATTATTACTCTTCTCGATGACTCGAACATGAAAGCTTTTCAAACTCTCCGCTGACCAAGGTTTTATCTCCTTCATTTGATAGACGTTCCTTGAATTCTACTTGATTGTAATTTTCGTTCAGCAGACTCGCTTGCTTTGCTTTCATATTTTTCATTAAATTAAATTTACAAACGGCGCTCATGTCATGTCATTCCTACTTGCTGTTGTTTTTACCGCATCAACCGCATTTTTACCGGTCGCTTTGTAAAATTAAATCCAATAAAATGAAGCTATATTTTCCAAGTATACAAGCGCACCGAATTTAATAAAACAATTATTCCATTCGCGCTTGTTGGATACGAGACTGGTTATGGCCAACTCGGCCCAACAGGCCTCGTTGGCTATTTACCATCTCATATCCAACGCGCGCTCGTGGAGTAATTGTTAATTATCACCTAAGCGTAACATACTACCGAAACTGCCGCTTTTAAGCCCCTTCGGTTATAGGCCCCTCCGGTTAAAGGTCCATATTCCTGTAAACCAAACAATACACCCGCTTATAAGCCCCCCGGATATAATTCCCCCCTCTAGCTTTCCTTGTTACAAATTTGTCTTATTATGATGATTTAAAGCTTAATCACCAGTAAGTAAAAAACCTATTTCGATCAACAAGTGCAGCTTTAGCTCATTTCGAAACGGTTTTTTATTCCGGTTATAAGACTCTCGGATATAAGCCCCTCCGTTTATAAGCCCATCTATGTCAAATTTTCTTCACTGTTATCACATTCATAATAAATAAAAAATAATAACACTACAGTATTGCAGATTCCTCGATTTTCGCGTCAATTGCCGGTTTTCATGTGACGTCATCATTTTCCAAAATAAGGAATTACCAATCCTACTGAGATTTTACAACGTTTAAGCCAGACAGAGCTACTCATTTTGTAATAGAGCTCGTTTGAATTTCCAAGTTTATGCGTTGCGTGACATTAAAATGGCGGCCCGATAAGGTTCTCGAGTAGGTCAAAAGACCAGATATTGCGCAGGTTTTTGCTAACTAAACAGTTCTTGCTCTAGAAGAAGTATTAATTGCAATGTGTCGGAACTCTAGAGTAATAACTTTTCGTTTTGATGGCAAAATTTAATGACAGATGTTTCTGATACTTTACGGCGGCCATGTTGGTGCCCTCCGAAGGGCACCCGACTTGGTCTGCATAAAAAGCTCTATAAATTTGAGTGAAACACTTTTCTGAATGACGCGCGAATGAATAATCACACAAACCTAAATCTCGGCGAGGTTGTTGATACATCAATAATCTATCATATCCCACCTTCTTGACTTAATGCACTGAATGGTTACGATTTTATTTTTGATGGCGTGACAGTGCAAACCAGGCATAGCGCACGCACACGAGCGCGTCCACATACACAACATCAGGAGATTTCCTTGAATGAGCTAAGCTTGACGGCGAAAGAAATGCTCGTTTTCTCTTAAACGAGCATTGTGACCTTTACTTGCGCGTTCATGGCAAATTGCACCATGCTTCTTGTGTTTTGTGTGAACACATTTCCAAAGAAAGGTAAACGAAGGAAGACTCTCTTGTTACTGACCGGAGGATCAATCTTTTTCATCCGCATTGGAACGAACGAATCCACTTCCAGAACCGACCGCAGCATTTCGATGCAATTTTACTTTGGAGTACTGAAATGAAACCACAACGACTCCGTTTGGGAAGGAGTAATTGAGTGACGGCCACTTTTCTGACAGTCAGTTTAATTCATGTTTTTCTATCCTTTATTGGAAAGCGCTATACTCAAACATTAACAACAATTCAAGGCTAGAAAGAATGGAAATAAAATGTTATGCTTATGTTTTTCACCGCGAGCTTCAAAAAATGGAACTTAATACAGCATTTTGTCTGCGTCAAAGAATTAAACAAGAAAAAAGGAAAAAATTACATTGGCTTACTCAGAAAGTGCGCTTGATGCATTTGCATCTCGCTGTATCTATCGACAATACTGTAACTAACACTAACAATAAGCCATCTGGTCTTACTCTAAGCATACATCAAGCCAAAGCGATTTTCTGGGTGTGTCGTCAGTGTTGAATTACTGTACTTTCGGCACTGAAGTGAAAAATGCTCTACATATTTAGTATCAATGCAGCAACTTATACTATAACCTATTAAGCTAACAACTGCCAGAAATGCTACTCTTATCTCTATGATAAGATTGCAAAATGACTTTGGCCGATAAGACCAGTTTTTTTTTGCTGATTTCTCAGAACACGCTGCTCCAATTTCTTGAACCTCGAGGTACTGCTCCTCAATCAGTAGCTGCGAGACGCTCTTGGTGAAAGTCGTCACTTAACTGTACAGCGGAGTTCCAGACAGCTTTCAAGTGCTTCATTTGGATATTGTCAGGAATGTCCTCGGTTCCTGGAATTTGTTCTAAACCTTTATCCGCCAAGCACAGATCCAAGTACTCTGCAAAACTAGAAGATAATTGCATTAGACATTTACATTCTGTTCAAAAAAGCTGATATTTTAGCGTACAAAAGAAATAAATTTTGAAGTGGTAATTTGCACGACAAAGAAACTTGTGCTGAAACATCACATGGAGTAAGAACGGAAGACGCTCTCTGGACTCCTCACGAGATCTTTGTTGGGAAGAAATGATTCCTTGACGTGTCCAAAGAGCATCTGTATAGATGGCTTTCTTGTGCAGTCATCTTACAAATCAAATATTTTGATTTATAGTAATAGCTAGTTTCGTATCAGTCCACCAGTATACGGATGTTCACTGGTGCTACAAACCACTAGGTCGGCCTTGGACTTCTTAGTACCTCCAACCAAAGATCTGCCAGAAAATTTGGCATCTCTGCCACTTTTGGACTTTGTTACCAAACGTAAATGTCAATCTTACCTCATGGTTGAAATATTTTCACCATCTTTTTGAACATTCAGAAGAATCATTTCCAGGAGTTGTGGTAAAAATAAGTCCATGTCGATTTTTCGCAATACGCGATTTAGGTGCGCCAGGTCGCTTGAGCTCAGTCTTCCCTTGAAAATGTCAGGCATTTGCTCAAATGGCTCCTAAAGAGATTTGGGAAAGGTGATGGTTTATAGTTTGTCTAGGTCACCCAAATGCACTTTTGTTTGCCTTCTTAAAAAAGAAAATTAAGAAATCTTCAAGAAAGCCAAAAATCATAGCAAATCCCATACACCTGCCTTTTTGGATCAAGTTTTGTTTGGTTATACGTTCAAAGCTCCATTAGGCATCCCATCCCTCTCTCTTTAACGTTCCCCTTAAAATAAATTCCCTAAGCAGCTTTCACTTTTACTTAAGCAACCCGCCGCCCCCCTCTCACTTCCTCTCTAATAAGCTCACCAACCCACTTCTCAGGACGGCAAGCCTTATTTACCCACGACTATTTCTTTCGTGGACACGCACATCGATGATATTAATACAAGGTCTCTTGTATCAATTAATTATTACATACGCCGACCGATTTATCTTTTCAGAAATAGCGCCCTCCTCTCTCTAAAAGGTGTTGAAAAGACGTAAGACCCTTCCAAGACGGGGGCAAAGTTTGATAGAGTTGAACGGTACTTTTATTAATTTTAATACATGTCGTTTAGCGCAAGAGTAAAGTTGACCGATCTTCCGGCTAAGAGACCTCTTAGATGTCTGGGTTAACGCGTAACAAGGTTTTCTTAAGGGAAAGACAGAGGGCTGAAAGAATGTGATGAGGTTACTTTAGTCTAACCTGATTGTTCCTAGACTTGATTTTCGCTTTCTCTAGGGCCATGAGCCGCCATAACGCCAAGGTGTGAGTCAGGTTGCAGTGCTGCTCTGCCTAAAGCAAAACAGCAACATACATTAAATGTTTAAAGGGATGTGATGGCTAAAGGGATGGTAACTCGTTTGAACCAACCACACTACTGAGGCATGGCACACGACCAGAGTTCACGACAGCGAAGCGTGCAACAAGGGCTACAATACAAAAACGAGAACAATTAAGATTCCTAAATTAAGACCGACCACGGTAGCACAATGAACTACTTATCATAATGTCTCTTTTAAAACTCTGCTAAGAAATAAATGCGCCACAGCGATCTACTCGTGTACAAATGGCAAATAATTAAGGAACGGCAAAAGTTTCATTTTTGCCGTGTCCCGTTTCTCTCAAGGAAAATGACCAGATTCGTTTCAGCGGACTGCGTTGTACTTACTGTTGGGCTCTTGAGTCCGCGTTCTTTGGGTAACTTAAGTACTTCATGTAAGTACCATTTTAAAGGTCTCTCGGTTTGGCCACCTGACGAAGCAAGAAAACCAATGGCGATATCCAATGACGAAAGAACGTCACAGACATCAGACAAGGAGGAGCGGAAATCGACGATAATCTGGCCTTCGACAAACCGAGAAATGGGCTCCTGTAGAAAAACACAATAATAATAATAATTAATAATAATAATTATTATACATTTATATGGCGCTAATACAGTAAATGTTATTGGACAAGCTTAAGGTCCGTGTTAATGGCACTCAAAGTCCATAAAATGGTAAAAAAAAAAAAAAAAAAAAA